GAACGAGACGGCAACAGGATTGCTGACAAGCGGGCCAAGGAGGGCGCAGCGCTGCAGGCTTCATCGGACGATGACGTCCTGGTGCTGGAAGGCCTGCTGGCGCGCGCCAGCGAGGCTAGCCGCTTTGCTGCCGAGATCGAGGTCCACATTTCGGACCACGGAGGCCGCGACAGCTGGCCGACGGAGGCGCTCGAGGACATCGACCTGGGCTACCTGGACGAGGCCGAGGTGGACGTGGCGGTGGCCAGCACGGCGCGCAGCGGCGCTGGGCTTGCAGCTGCTGCTGGGGCGGCGGCGCTCGCGGCGGCCGTGGCTTCCAGCGCTGTCCCCAGCGCGGCCAGCGCCTCCACTGCCCCGGGAGGCGGCGGCGCAACGAACAGGGTACACGGTTTCGACTCCGGAGGTGGCAGAGCGACGGCCACCCGCAAGCGGCCTGCGGCGGCTCCTCCTGCCAGCCCGCCCACGGCACCGCTGGCGGCAAATGGCGAGACGGCGGCCGAGGCCATGCGCCGAGTGGCCCGCAGGCTGAAACTAGAACGCGTTCAGCCGCGAGGCGACGCCGAGCCGCAGCCCGAGGCCCAGGAGCCGAGCGGGGCGGGGCTATGGTGGCTGCCGAGCCGAGCACGCGGCCGTGGGCGGTCCACGGGCACTTGCTCATGGAGGGCCAGGTGCTCAGCAAGGCCTCCGAGCCCTTCCTCGTGTGCACGGCGTGCTGCATGTACGCCAGGGCGCCGAGGATGGCCTGGCGGGGCTTGCGCGACCCCTGCCATGGCGCGGAGCATCGGGCCAAGAAGGGCTCGCGTGCCCAGGCGAGGAACGACCTCGACAAGAGGGTCCTCCCTGGCACGAAGGAGGCGATCGGGGACCTCCAGCCGCCCTCGGCGGCCATGCGGGAGCGCTGGGCCGAGAAGCTCGGCGTGGACGCGGGCGCGGACCTGGAGGCTGGATCCAGCGGCCCTGGCCTGCCGCGGCGCGCGAGCGCTGGTGCGGAGCCTGGGCCAGGCGCGGTGGCGGCGCCGAGCTCGAGCCAGGCCAGTGGCTCGGGGCTCATCGTTCCTCCGCTCGCGAGCGTGGCCCACGGCTTCGCGAGCGTGGAGGCTGCGCGGGCGCGAGGGCGAGAGGCCCGCGCCGAGCGCGCGGCGGCGGCGCGCGGGGACGGGGGACCCCAGGAGGACGAGCCAGAGCTTTGAGTGGCTTGCTCCTGGGGGTCCCGCCTGCGTTTGCAAGTCGAATTGATTGCAAGGGCCCGCCGTGGTCCGCGAAGAGTTTTAAACATTGGATAAGGAACCCTTGGAGAAGGAATCCAGGGTCTGGAGGCCGGTGGAACTCCAATCGAAGCTTGGCCACGGATATCACTCTGCCGCCCTCGTCAGACAAGGAGTTATCCTGGGTCTGCAGCCTCATGGGCGCATTCCTGAACCAACGCCCCCCCCGTAGTTCGGGCACTTGTCAGGAAACGCGTTCTGCGATGCTGTGCGGGCAATTGCTGCCGGAGTTCGGACACCCCTGCGTCTGGGCCGAATACCTCATGCCAGCATTGAAGCAGCGCGGACCACGCAAGCACCGAAAACAAACACCGTCAATTTATGCTTGACGGGTCTTGTCGGACAACAAAAGCATCCTCAAAGAGCACGAGACCCTCCGCCGGCTCAAGCACCCCAGACCATGAGATCGCCGAAGGCCCCCAAGAGACACCAGAACTTACAACGAGCACGAAACACACCAGGGCACCCTGCCCGCGAAGACCTGGATCTTATACTTCGGCCCGACCGTATGTATAGAAGAACAAAGAACAACATTAACATAAACGTTTGGAGGTCCGCGCGGACTTCTCGGATCCGCGCTGGGCCGCCCTCCCTGGCGCGCGGAGCGCGCTAGGGGCGGCGCTGGAGGCGCCGCCACGGGGGCCCAGCGCAGATCCAAGAAATCCGCGCGGAGCTCCGAAAGTTTGATAGCATGTTTCCCTCTTCGAATGTATGGAGGCCTCCTAGATGGGGTCCGAGTAGATGGGGTCGAAGGATCGCACCGCATCGCCAATGCATCGCCGATGGCCCATCTACTCGGACCCCATGTAGGAGGCCTAGGATTAGGTCGGGCATATCCTCCTACAGGCGGATTTGGGACGAGAGGTTAACAAAATCGTAAAACCTACACCTAAGATAATCAACAATTGTCGAAACATCGTCCCCGGACTCTTTTTTGACCCTTTTGGAATATCCCCCCTGTAGAGGGACACGCCCGACTTAAGCCTAGAATGTGCCATCCTGGCCGAGGCCAGGAAGGCCTGCACACCGCCCTGGGGCCCGGGATGGCCCTCGGCCCAAACCTGGCGGGCGCAAGCCTGGAAAATGACGGCCGCGGCACCCTCTCGAGAACCGAAAACGGACAATTCACAAATGGACGTGTCGGGGTGGGGGTTCTGTCCACCCCCGAATCTAGGAGGCCTAGAATGTACCCTCCTGGCCGAGGCCAGGAAGGCTTGCACACTGCCCCCTGGGGCCCGGGATGTGGCCCTGGCGCCTTGGCGAGGCCGGGAGGCTCTGTGCACACACCGCACCCTGCGGGCCCGACGGGCGCTCTGTGGTGGTGCACGGTGGTGGTGTCCAGATGCCGGCTGCAGCGGAGGAGGAAGAGGAGGAGGCGGAGGAGAAGGATGAGGAGGCGGAGGAGGAGGAGGCGGAGGTAGAGGAGGAGGAGGAGGAGAGGAGGCGGAGGAGGAGGAGGAGGAGGAGGAGGAGGAGGAGGAGGAGGCGGAGGGGGACGAGGCGGAGGAGGAGGCGGAGGAGTAGCATCGGGCGGAGGAGGAGGAGGAGGAGGAGCAGGAGGAGGAGGAGGAGCAGGAGGAAGAGGAGGAGGCGGAGGAGGGGCCCTGTGACCAGATGCTGGCTGCGGAGAGTGAAAGCAGGGGCACCGCAAGAAACCCCGAGATCCTGGCGACTCCATTTCTTTCGAGCCGGGCGTGCTCGCCTCCGTTCGGGCCCCGGGGCCCTCACAGCTCGATGCGGTGCGAAAGCGAGGGAGGGAGATGGGGTCGAGGCTTCTGGGCGTGATTCTGTTACGATGCTGCACTCTTTTGGCAACGTTGGATCGTAGGGGAGGAAGAGAACATACGATAACTAAGACGAAGCCAGGACGAGGAGGAAATCAAGTACGGACATATATATATATATATATATATATATATATATATATATCGAGCATCTCATCTCTGAGATCCGGCGGCTCTGGAGGGTGTGTCTCGGGCGCCGCGGCCTTCTCAGAGCGTCCCGGAACGCTCTGAAAGCGTTCCAGAACGCTCTGGAACTGTCCTTATCCTCGTCCTCGCCCCGTCCGAAGAACGGCGCCCCTGCACCGCACCGTGCCTGGACTCCGTTTAGGCCCCGCTCCAGAGCGGTAGAGTGCATGGTTTCCTTCGGCCCCATGGGGTCCGAAAAACTATGCACCGTACAGTTGAAAGAAACAAGTTTGCACCACCTGGGCGGCACGACAACTGATGATACGACCCCCCCCGCCCCCGACCTCAACATTGAGAGCGAACGCGCACGCTGAAATGGGATGTATCTTTATTTTCTCGAAGGGTCCCGAGAGATGTCACAACTATCAATGTTAAAGTCGGGGGCGCGGGGGAGCAGTGCCATCCGATTCGCAGCTCAACCCGAAATGGTGTAAACAGCTTTTTCTTTCAACGGTACCTTTCCCGGGCCGAGAATCGACGGCACCTCGGGAGACGCCGACGCGACACGGTGCAAAAGCAGAGCGTCTACGGAGAAAGGGGGAGAGGGAGCCGAGACCAATACGGCGGGGGGAATGGATAAGAATACGGAGGAGGAGGAGGAGGAGGAGGAGGAGGAGGAGGAGGAGGAGGAGGAGGAGGAGGAGGAGGAGGAGGAGGAAGGAGGAGGAGGAGGAGGAGGAGGAGGAGGAGGAGGAGGGAGGAGGAGGAGGAGGAGGAGAGGAGGAGGAGGAGGAGGGAGGGAGGAGGAGGAGGAGGAGGCGGGGGAGGAGGAGGAGGAGGCGGAGGAGGAGGAGGAGGAGGTGGAGGAGAAGGAGGAGGAGGAGGGGGGGAGGAGGAGGAGAGCAGGAGGGGAAGGAGGAGGAGGAGGAGGAGGAGGCGAGGAGGAGGAGGAGGAGGAGGAGGAGGAGGAGGAGGAGGAGGAGGAGGAGAGGAGGAGGAGGAGGAGGAGGAGGAGGGGGGGGAGCGGGAGGAGGGAGGAGGGAGGGTGGCAGCTCGAAACGCTGCTCAAACAAAGGAACCCTTAGAAAAGGAATCCAGGGTCTGGAGTCTGGTGGAACTCCAATCGAAGCCTGGCCATGGATATCACTGCCGCCCTCGTTAGAGGTTAGAGAAGGAATCCTCCAGGGTCTGCAGCCTCCTGGGTGCATTCCTTGACCAACGCCCCCACCGTGTCCAAAACCTGGAAGCGGGAGCCCAGAACCCAGAACCGGGAACCCAGCCGCCTACCGAGACCAATCTGGAACCCGTGAACGCGAACCCGGATCGTGGATCTTCTGACTTGGGTCAACCCAGACCCGGGTCAGTCAAGCCTTGCAGAATCCTGCAAGATCCTGCGCCCAAGCCCAGGTCAATGCGAAGGATCCTGCAAGGTCCTGCAGGATCCTGCGCCCAAGCCCGGGTCAGTGCGACCCTGGCCGTGCAGGATCCTGCAAAGTCGGGCGCTCTGGCTGACCCCCGTTTGCGGCGACCCCTCTCTTGAGCCCCGACAGACCTGGGAACCCGGGAATCCGGCCGCCTACCGAAATCGGCGGCGAACTCTCGCCAAGACGAATCTGGAACCCGTATAAACGGGCACCCGGGGACCCGGCCGCCTACCGAGATCGGCGGCGACCTCTCGCCAAACCTTCCAGTATCCGGTAGGACCCCTACACTGCAAGCACTGACTGATTGGGGAACAGGTCGTCCGCGGAGAAATGGAGGGGGAGGAGTGGGCGAGGAACACGGAAGCGAGAGTGACTGGCATACGACCCGGCCAGAAGGGGGCTCATTGTCCCCACTGTCCTGGCGGCCCACCCGCCAGGGGATGGTCGTGCGCAGTCTCACTGATCTCGTGGCTCACGTCGTCGCCATGGACCATTCCGTGGCTCGGCGTGTAGTCACCGTGCGAAATCGACCAGGTCCCGTTCGGGAACTGATCTGCGTAGGTCTGGAAGACAATCAGAGAAGTGCACGTGGACACGGCCATGAGACCATCAGCAATTGCGATGGCCGCATCCTGGAAGGCCACGCCAGTTGTCAGGGTCGAGAGAACCTGGACGTCCCTGGACCCCCCTCCATTGGGCGCGCCGTACCGCGACAGCACGCCGACCTGACTGCCAACGTACACGTCGCCGGCCGCATCGATCGCTGGTGCGGACCAGCTGTTCGGCGTGCACGCGGCACGGCCACCCATGGCCCGGCGGATGTCGGCGCCCTCCTTGTCTCCAGCGCAGAAGTTGGTCCACAGCGTCGGGCCGTCCCGCATCCACCTGATGTCGCCGTTGTTCGGGTCCAGGGCCCAGATCTGGGAGGGGGAGTTGGTCCAGCAGTTGAAGCCCATGGTGACCACCAGGCGGGAGTGCGTGCCGACGCCGACGGCACCGTGGCCGTTGAGCATGCCAGTGGTGCCGCTGGCTGGCGGCTCTGGCGTCAGCTGCTCCCAGATCAACCTGCCAGAGGTGGCGTTGTAGCCGCGGACAAAGCCCCTTCCACCTGAGCGACGGCCAGAGGCGGATCTTGCGTGAGATGACGTAACCAGCGACCCTACACCGCAGCTTGCGCGGGCAGCCAGCGCGGCACGCTGCATGGGAAGCGAGGGCGCCCACGCGCGACCTTGCGCGGGCAGCCTGCGCGCGGAATGTCAGCGCAATCGACCCGTTTTCTCTTGCGTCGCTCGCTCGCGCACCTGGCCACGTCCAGCAGTTGATGAGTATGCCGGGTGCCGGATACGGGTTGCAGTACTTGCCCGTCGGCACGCCGAGGGCGTCGGCCATGTGGTAGTTCATCACGTTGTAGTGCACCATGCCGAGGGCGAACACCATGTTGTAGACAGGATCGTACACGGCGGCCGCATTGGTGTGCGTCCCGATGTCGCCCCCGACCCTGAAGTGGGGCTCGCCGGTCAGGTAGTCCAAGGAATACACCCTGCCCTCCCAGTCCTGGAACAGCACGGTGTTATCCGGGCCCCACAGTGGGACCATGTTCCACACGGGCGACATGGTCTTGTACGCCCAGACAGCACTGCCGTCAACTGCACTCAGACCCCGCACGACCAGGTTGCCGGGCGTGAACACATTGGTCTGGTTGCGGTACCTGTAGCAGTACCGGTCAGTGCAGCGGTCGGTTGCGACCACAACGATTCCACCCTTACAGGCCACAGCCCCCTTGACGCCAGAGATCTCGTTTGAGGCCCAGGTTGCCCACAGCTCATCTCCGGTTGCGAGGTCGAGCGCGAACACGTAACCAGCTGTGGTGCTCCCTACCAGCATGGCAGGCGTCACGGTGGCCTGCTTCGGCGCCACCCGGACGAACCGATTGTGAAAGGCGCGCAGCTGCACAACGGTCTTGTGCCCGGTGCGCGTCCACTGGATGACGGCCTTGTCCCGGTCCCCATCGCCCTCGACGATGCCGGAGATCAGCCCCTGGTCACCTGCCTTGTACAGCTGCTGGCCGTCCGCTCGGTAGCTCGATCCTGGCTTTACCTTGACGAGGTCGCCGACCCTGAACTCCCTGAAGAACTGGGAATTGTCCGTCGGTTCGCTGCCCTTGGCCCAGTCCGGCCGCAGCTCGTCCTCCTCCATCTCGTCGTCATTCTCAGGGGCCGCTTGGCGCCTGCTACTGGCAACGCACAGGGTGGGCGCCGCTGCGAGCTGACCTCGGGGGGCGTAGCTCCACTTGAGGATGCCGGTGACGTCGAACTTCCGGATAGCGTCGTCGGCACCGAGGTAGATGTTCCGCTCGTCGTCGATGAGAGGGCTACCAACCGGGATGGTGTTGTAGACCCCGCTCGGGTGATGCCACCCCCACGAGAGATTCTCCGTGAAGTCCGCCGCGCCAGAGTAGAGCTGCCCCTCGCGGTTGCCAGAGTCGGGCCAGAAGAGCTTCCCGTCCTGCCGCTCCTCCTCCTCCTCCTCCTCCTCCTCCTCCTCCTCCTCCTCCTCCTCCTCCTCCTCCTCCTCCAAGCCTCCCGCTTGGTCTTCTTGAAGGCTGCACGCTTGTAGTGGATGACGCCCGCCCGGTTCACCTTGCCCAGGTCGGTCTTGTCCGCACTCTGCTCGAGCGCCCCTTCCCTCGTCAACCGGGTCGTCCTGCCCTCCCTCCTGTCGTACTTCTCCTTGACCAGCTTCTCGTGGACGCTGTCGAACTTCTCCTTGGTCAGCTTCTCGTGGACGCTGTCGAGCTTCTCCTTGCTCAGCTTCTCGTGGACGCTGTCGAGCTTCTCCTTGCTCAGCTTCTCGTGGACGCTGTCGAGCTTCTCCTTGCTCAGCTTCTCGTGGACGCTGTCGAGCTTCTCCTTGGTCAGCTTCTCGTGGACGCTGTCGAGTTTCTCCTTGGTCAGCTTCTCGTGGACGCTGTCGAACTTTTCCTTGGTTAGCTTCTCATGGATTCTGTCTGATTTTTCCTTGATCAGCTTCTCGAAAGCACTGTCATACTTCTGGACGCCGACTGCGGGAGTGAGCAGAAGATGCAAGCATGCTACAATATGGACACCAACAGCAAGCGTGGTCATTGGAAAATTCCGAAATCAAGCGAGTGAGTGAGCCCCGTAAGGGAAGTACTTTACGGGAAAAAGATAGTGTATCGGATATGTTACGGTTCGGTCAGGCCTGAACCTGTCGGATCGAACCCGATCGGGTGCACCCCCTTCCCTCCTAAGCAAAGGACCGGTCGGACTGGATGAGAGCGAGCAGATCGGTCCTTCGGATCGGATCGGGGTGCAGCCTGTGGCAGGCTTGGGAAAGCTGGCGGGGAAGACAGCTGGACTGGTTCGCGGCACCCACCAGGCTGCCGGCTGGCGCCGGATGCTCCGGTGAACCCGAGCCCGCTCCCCGGCAGGCTCGGGGAGGGGGATCTCCCGCCCGCCCGCGCAGAGCACGGGGCTCGAAGGTGTCGGAAGCTCAGTCGCCCATCACTTGGCTCATCTGGTAGCGTTTGCCGCTCGTGAGGCCGACTTGCACGCGGGGCAGAAGCGCTCTGGTCGTCGTCAGGGGCGCGGCCGATGCCTCGCTCGGGATGCCAGGAACTGGGCCAGCCTGCGCGGGCATGCTCGCCACTTGCGGAGAGCGTGGAACGAAAGCCGAAGCTTTGCCACTCATGGAAGTGCACGCTTTCGGAGGCTGTGCACGGGATGGGAGGAGGAGGAGGAGGAGGAGGAGGAGGAGGAGGAGGAGGAGGAGGAGAAGGACGAGTTGACCCCAGTGCTGCGCGTAACTTCTCTTCCCCTTCGAGGGCGCAGCTGAAGTTGCCGATGGGTCTGCGGCCGCCGGGCCACACCTGGGAGGATCAAAAGGGGGGGCGCTCATAGCCGTCGGGGTCAGAGTCAAGACCGGCCAAGTGGCCAACACTGGCGAGCAGCAAGATGCCCTCGCTGTTTACGCTCTCGGCGTGAGGGGGGGGGGTGCGGCGAAAGCAGCGCCAGCAGGTGACAACCGCGTCCACTCTGCAGGCAATGATGACCAGAGGTGCTAATGCCAACGGATGGTGATGAGACCATCAAGGACACATCGGGTTCCCCCCCGCCGCTAGTAACCAAATTGGGTGTCGGCAAACCTTGAACACCCTTTCTGGTCAATGCCACCCAAGGGTCAACAACTAGAGACTCCCAGACCGAAGGGATGTCGCGTACGTGTGTCGGCATTCCGTAGTATCCTGCTGGCTGGCCGCCGTCATGTGTTTACTGATGAATATGCTCCCGCCAAAACCCGTGAACTCATGCTGGCGAATGGCCTCTATAGACGTGGAGTGATCGTAACACCACGCGTGCAGTGGGTGACCCCCTGGGTCTTCCCACATCGTTACGCACGAATGGCTGACGACAATGATCGGTGCCAACGATGGTTGCACACCCTGTCGGTGATGATCCCTTGAGACAAACAACAACCCTACATCAAGCAGTCCCCATGGGTGCTAATCGTTATCGTTCAGTTCCCGGAGAACCCTCGATGGGTAGGCATGACCGTGACTTCACGACGGCCAACGACAACCATGAATGTAAACATATCGACACCACTCACGCTACAAACCCGAACCAGAGGACGAGGAGAAGGAGGAGGGGGGAATGAAGGAGTAGAAGAACAGGAGGACGGGGAGGAAGAGGAGGGTCAGAGGGACAGAAATACCAGGACGAGGAGGCCGAGAAAAAGAGGAAGGCGACGCGACGAGAAGGAGCAGGAGGAGAATGGAGAGGATGGGACTTCAAGAGGAGGCGGACGAGGACGCCCCCCCCAGCGCCCCAACGGCACCGCGCGCTCTCGCGCGTCCTCCTCCTCCTCCTCCTCCCTCCTCCTCCTCCTCCTCCTCCTCCTCCTCCTCCTCCTCCTCCTCCGCCCCCTCCTCCTCCTCCTCCGCCCCCGCCTCCTCCTCCGCCGCGCGCCGTCTCTGGGCGGGCGTCCTATAGTGGCAGCGGGCCGTGGCAGCACCCGACGGGGCTCGGCCGCGGGCTCGCACGACGGCCTGCAGGGCGGCTGCGCGTCGTCGCCGCCGCCGCCGCCGCCGCCGTCGTCGTCGCCGTCGCCGTCGTCGTCGCCGTCGTCGTCGTCGTCGTCGTCGTCGCCGTCGTCGCCGTCCTTCTCGTCGCCATCGCACTCGCCCTCGCCCTCGCCGGACTCGGCAGCACGGGCGCCGGAGTGCGGCACGGTCCAGCAGCCGCCGCAGCATTTGGCGGAGCAGCGCTCGTGGACATGTCGCGGGGGCTCCCCGGCCACCACCGTGTCGATGTTGAGCTGCACTGTCAACACCTCGCTCTCCTGGGGCTCTGCTGTGTTCCTGCTCGTTTGCACTTGTCACGTGTGCGGAGCTGCATTGTCAATTGCGCGCTTTCCTGTGGTTTTGCTGCGTTCCTGCTCGCAACGCACACCGCCAGAGGCGGCGGAGAGCTTGAGATCCGCCGACCAAAAAAATAAGAATTCGACGGTCCGCGCGAACTTCTTCGATCTGCGCAGGACCCTCCCTGCCTGGAGCACGGAGCGCGCCAGGGGCGGCGCCAGAGGCGCCGCCAGAAGAGGGGCCAACTCTGAGATCCAAGAAATCCGCGCGGACCGTCGGAAATGTACATCCAGCAGTAATCGAAAGAAAAAGCGTAAGGTTTCGTGGACTCCAAACTTCGCTCAAGAAGATCAAGAATCTGGACACGCTTGGGCCGTATGTTCTCTGAGAAAAGCACGAACCACTTCTCAGAACCTATGACCCAGTGCGCAGCCCCTTCGCAGTGACGCCACGTGCACTACCCCCGAAGAGTGCCCTTGCAGTGCTCCAGGAACGGACTGCGCAAGTAGGCCACGCATTCCGTTCCAGCAGGCTTTCTACTGTCATGAGTAGCACTCACTTTGGCAGACCTTCTCCAAGCGACGACCCGAAATTCACTCTGTGGGGCTAAATCCTGCGACGGCTGCTACCCGTTCGCCCTAGCAGAGTCAAACAATGTGGACGTGGCTCTCGGAGAAGTTCGAGACGGTCGGCAAGAAATGCCTCCTGCTTAGCTTTGATAAATGCCTCGGAATCCAGGAGCTGTCGATGGGGAAGCGGGACCAAGACATCCGACGATCGGGTTCTCTTCTGCAGCGTGGGCCCCGAAGCTCTCGACCCCTTGCCTGGGACCCATTGTTCGTCACATATACGGTGGGGGCATTGGATAAGGAACCCTTAGATAGGGAATCCAGAGTCTGGAGGCCAGTGGAACTCCAATTGAGGCTCGGTCATGTTTATCACCACCGCCCTCATCACATAAGAATACTCCAGCGTCTGCAGCCTCCTGGGCACGTTCCTTAATCAACGCCCCCACCGTACCTCAGGAGTCCACAAACTGCTTGAGCGACAGGATGACAGCCTCGATGGAGGAGTCCTTCTCGCTCGGCGGGAGCGGCTCTCAGTCGAGCAGCGCCTTCAACGGGCCCAAACAAATGAGGATACCCATACGACAACTGGCAATCTGCATATCAACACGACGATGATGATCACGATGTGCACTGGTTGTGATCCATCCGCTTTGGGATGTAACTCGTGGCTGACGAGTCCACCACGCAGGCTGGAGGCCGTACAACCGGCTAAGAAGCCGGCGTTCTTCGTCCATCCCACTGCATTCGCTCCATAGGTGCCGGGCACTCGGGTGGAGCGCTCCGCACAGCGCACACCTGGTGTTCTGGCTGATGCTGGTCTGGGTGCGTATGGCTCCACACCGGAAGATGTTCAGAGCCTGCTTCTCGGCGGCCGGGAGGCTCTCCGAGAACTTCTTCCACCGGGGGTCGCTGGAGGCCTCCACGTCGACGTTCTCCACGCCCTCCACGTCGTTGCGGCTAGAGGCGCACTGCTGCAGACAGCGAATGCGGCACACCAGCCTCGCGCAATGCTGCGCTTCTTCGGACCGCGTCCAGAAATAGGAGCGCCCCTGGCGCACCCTGTCTGTGACCTTCTGGACCCGCGGGTCGTCCCCCGGGAGCACCTCCAGGCACAGGCCAAAGTAATGGTCGTAGTCTCGAAAGCCGAGCCCCAGCCGATCCACGGCGGTACGTATCTGCGTCTCCACATGGGGACTCCAACAGAATTCAGGATCAAGAACAACCTTGAGTCCGCGAAGAATTGACACGTAGAGCGGGTGTAGGTAGAGTCTGGTGGCACACCAGCGGCCCCGGCACCACCAGGAACATCCGGTGCGCAGCACGGCCTTCATGACCAGGGGCGTGGTGTCTGGCGGGGGCGGCGCCACCACAGGTGCTGCCCACAGCCACATCGGCGAAGCGTAAGCCGCTGTCAGGGACTCTCTGACTTTGGCGGGCCCGGGGAGTGTGCCCAGGCGGCGTAGCGTCGTTCGCACGGGGCCCCACCCGAAGCGAGGCTCGATGGGCTCCTCCGGGGAGCCCGGCACAGCGGAGATACCCAAGTGCTCAACTCGTTCACCTCCGGTCTTTGTCCAGTGTTGTCTCTTGCCAACGTTCTCGGCGAAGTTGGCGGCCGTGTCGAAGTCTTGCGTGTACACGAGGGCATCGCGGAGCTTGGTGCTGGCCGCCGGCGCGCCGACGGTCATGGACCTGTCATCCATGAAAGCGAAGGGCGTCACGTCTTGGGGCTGCCACGGGACCAAGGTGGCCACCATGCCGGCCAGCGCGTCAGACCCGCCCTGCGGGAGGCTGCAGCAGGGGCGGATTGGGGAAGAGCTCAGCGCTCCCTCCACCTGGCAGTACCGGGGGCCCCGCCAGGAACATCTGAACAGACACTGCAGGTGCCGAGGCCAATCTTCACGGTCCAGGGCCTCTGTCGCCAGCAGGTGGTCGATTCGGTCGTACGCTTTTGTGAGGTCTTGCTCACAGCCTTCGTCAGCAGCCGCCGCCGCACTCAGCCAAGAAGAGATGGCGTGTACCACGGAGACTCCGGGGCGTGTGGCCAACTGCGTGTCCATGGCTGGGTGGGGCGCGATGGCCGCGCATGCACTGAGCCACGTCCGTACGAGGTATGACGCCACCGAGATCGGCCGGGAGGCGTCGGTCTTGGGCTTGGGGATCCCCACCACCCGCCAGCAGAAGAGGAAGTCGACGAGGGCCTCCGGGAGGCCCGCCGGGTCACCAGCGGCGCGTGTGGTTGCCACCCACAACGTGTGGAGCTCCATCTTCAAGAACTCGAAGTGCCGTGTCAAAGCTTTGACCTCTGCGGCTGACCAGCCGTCGAGGCCCGCCGCCCCGCCGCATTTCTGGAAGGCAGCAGAGAAGTCGTCGCAGTCGGGGATCCAGTCAACCGCAACCCCACACTGCGGGAAGACGGCCTTGTCCGCGTAGGTGCACCAAGCTGCCCGGATGGTCTCCGGGTTGTAGTCTGGCGGGTTCCAGATCGGCTCCCACTCCGCCCGCATGGAGTCGGGGGTGAAGGTCGGCGCCTCGGGGCCCAGCTTGATGACAGGGCCGGCGGCGGCCCAAGTGTCCCGAGTGATCTCGGTGAAGCGTTGTTTCCATTGGCGGCCGCGGGCGTCCGTGCCCTTCCGCTCCTCCTTGGTGATGCTGGCATTGATGATGTCGACTGCGGCGGCGTACGTCGGCCACAACAGCGGGGCGTCGGACCACTTTGCGTGGAGGGCTCCCTGACGGGCTGCCACGCCGAAGTCGTGCAAGTGCTTGGGTGACAGGCGCTCCGAGTCCACCCCCGCAGTCTTCCCGTGGGTGAACCGGCGGTGTAGCCGCCGCAGCTGTCGAAGAGTGATCGCTTCATCCACCCGGTGCTGGGCCGAATCGGCGCACCGGCGGGACTCGGGCGGGGAAGCTTTCGGCCGCTCCCCAGTGCGAGTCATTTCCATGAAGTCCCGGCTGCACGCCAGGCGGGCCACAGTCTCAGCCCGAGCGTGCCACCGCTTCCACCTGTCCAACAGCGGGAACGAGGCCTCCAGGACAGGGTACTCGGCATCGACGGCGGACTCGATGTCTCCCGCATCGGCCGGGAGCATAATAGCATTGTCATTCCAAGTGTAGAAAGCTGTACGTTTAAGGCGCTCCTGGGCGGGCCGCGGCGGCAGCGGCACGTCCACCTCGAAGAGAACCAGCTTGTGGTGCGGGACACCGGCCACGGCTTCCACTCCAGCGGCCTGGATGGAGCAGCCCTGGGCCAGCCCTCGGGTAGGCTTGGTATTCGCATGTGTGGTTGGGGAGGGCATGTCGGCGATCTGCCAGGCGTCGGCGACGAGCTGGCGGTACATCTCCCTCCAGTTCAGGTCCCCAATGAGCACCTGCGGCTTGTCGTGGAACTTCTCGTCCATCCACTGCACAGCTTTATCGACCCATTCGAGGGACGGGCGTGAAGCCGGCCCGTAGGCGGAAACGACTGCACCTCCCGCAAACAGGAGTCCCACCAGTCGACGGTCTTTCGGGTGGGCGTACGTGGAAACCTTCCCCAAGGAGCGCCTCCACATGATGGCGGTGCCGCCCTGGACGTGCGTGCCCCGTTGGTCCACGGGGGAAGGCGTCGACAGCTTTATACCCCATCCCCGTTGGGATGCCAGCCTCATGAGCCAGCGTGGGGTCACTGTGGTGTGGCGGACCTCCTGCAAGCAGATGATGTCCGC